GGAAACCACCTGCGCTCCACCTGAGCAAGGTTTAGAGATGCCAAGCTATGAGACCGCAGCGTGTGTCAGTGGGGAATTATCTGGCCAAGCGCTGGGACCCCTCTACCAACGTCTGGTGGTGCGACGAAGAGGAACACTTTCTGCGGTAAATGGAAGGGAAGAGAATGAGGACGAGACATGCGGCTCGAAGAAGGAGAAGTATGGCGAGAACAGAGGAGGGAAAAGGAAGACGCGGAGGAGAGGAGGAGAGGCGGAGCGGGTGAAAATGGCCGCGGCGCAGGCGACAGTCAGTCCACGACCTCGAAGGTGGACAGCGGATCGTACTCCTCGATGTTGTGGATCACCTCTCCTCCTGCTTCTCCTCTCCCACCTCCTCCTCCTCCTCCTCCTCCTCCTCCTCCTCCTCCTCCTCCTCCTCCTCCTCCTCCTCCTCCTCCTCTCCTCCCCTCTCCCCTCCTCCTCTCCTCCCCCTGCTCCACCTTCCCCTCCCCTCCGCCTCCTCCTCCTCCTCCTCCTCCTCCTCCTCCCCCTCCTCCTCCTCTCCCCCTCTTACATCCTCATCCTGCATATCCTGCTCCCCCCCTCTCCCCGCCTGTCCACCCTTACTCTGCCCCTCTTCCCCCCGTCCCTCTTCCCCCCAGACGGCCGCCCCAGGAACCCAGGCGCGGCTCGCAGGGCCCGAGCCGGCGCAGAGAACTCGCACCAGCTCGTGCTCCGACCAGGCCGTGCGCATTGCAGAGCGTGCCTGCTGCGCTCGGCAACGCCGGCAGGGCCTTGGAAGGGGCGAGTGCAAAACGGCCGCCGAGCCACTGCACAAAGAGCACGTCGAATCGTCCATATGGAAGGGCCCGCGCCCGACCACGGGAAGGCCTCTGGGGCGAGGGCCCCCTGGGCCGCGGCAGATCCCTGCTGCACGGTAGAGGCAGGACAGGTGGTCGGCCGGTCGGCTGGAGTCGTCGGCTGCGGGCAGCCCATGGGCGCGCGCGGTAGCGTGCAGATCGGCGCGTCTGCGCGCCCGCTGCAAGCATGCTGAATCAACAAAGGCAGGACAGGTGAAGCCTGCTTGCCTTGTTCATCCCGCTCCCGCCAGTTCGCACCTGGGCCTGCGCCACACCGCGCTGCCGCGCGCAGGACGGGAGGGGTAAGAATGAGCCCCCCTGTCACTTCCCGCAGATTTCCCCTCCCTCTCCTCAGCCACCGCCCACCTTCAGTTTCATTATCCTCTCCCTCCCCCTAGATCCCTTTCCTCCCCGCAATTACACATTATGCATACTATTTTCCTCTACCCCTTGACTCTGTCCAGAAGATGTTCCTCCCTCTCCCCCCTGTCACTTCCCGCATTTCTTCCTTCCTTCTCTTCAGCCACCGCACACCTTCCGTTTCATCCTCCTCTCCCTCCCCTTGGATCCCTTTCCGCCCCGCAATCGCACATCTTGAATACCGTTATCATCTCTCCCCTGCCTCTGTCCAGAAGCTGTTCCGCCCTCTCCGCATATAGCTTCTTAGCACATGGAATGTGTCACACAAGGTCTTTTCTGTCGTTTGAACGCAGATTGTTCCTGGTGTTTCCACTTGTGCTCCCGCTCCAGCGTGGGCCTCATCTTCGGATCGGCGTTTTGCTCGCGGCGCTCAGGGTGGCGCCGTCGCCCCAGCGTGGGCAACTGTTCTGGATGCGAGTCCGTCCTCACCGTTGTCGCCCCCCTCCCTTCCCCTCCTCTGCCTTCCCCTGGTCCTCCTGCTCCTTCGGCTCCTTCCACTCCACTTACCGCTGCTGCTGTTCGTTCACGTCCTCCTCCTCCTGCCTCATCCCTCCTCTCCTCCTTCGCAACTCCTCCGCCTTGCGCTGGTCCTCCGGCTCATCCCGCCCCTTCCGCTCAAGTTCCTGCTGCTGCTGTTTGTCCTCGTCCTAGCCCCTTCTCTTCATCCTCCATTTCTTCCTGCTCATCTTCCTGCTTCCCCGCCACCTCCTCCTTCTATGTGCGGAGCCTTCCCTCTCCGGTTGCGCATCACATGATGGGGTCGTGTTTGAAGTTCCGGGTCGGCTATGACACGTGGCCGCGGATCGACAAACATCAACGCAATGGCGCGCGCGCGCCCGGCTTGCCCGTGTCCCTGTCCCATCCCCCTCCTAACGCTCACCGCTGCGTCCGCCGCCCCCTCCCTCCTGCCCCAGCCCTTCTCCTCCGCCTCCGCCTCGCCCTCCTCCTCCTCCTTCTCCTCCTCCTCCCCCGCTTGAGGTCACGAGGTCGGTCCATTACATTCATCGACCACCGAAATTGGGTGGTGAAGGGGAACACACGCGACCTAACGATACAGCCTCGACAATCCTTCCTCCTCCTCCTCCTCATTTTTCCCCCCCCTCCTCTCCTCCTCCTACTCCTCCCCCTCCTCCTCCTCCTCCTCCTCCTCCTCCTCCTCCTCTCCCCTCCTCCTCCTCCTCCTCCTCCCTCCTCTCCTCCCTCCTTCCTCCCCCTCCTCCTCGTCCTCCTCTCCTCCTCCGTTTCCTCCTCCTCCTCCTCCTCCTCCTCCGCCTCCTCCTCCTCCTCCTCCTCCTCCTCCTCCTCCCCTCCTCCCCCCCCTCCTTCTCCCTCCTCCTCCTGCTCATCCTCCTCCTCTTCTTCCTCTTCTTCTTCCTCTCACTATTGATAGTCGTAGTCGGATTGTTCTTCTTCGTAGCAGCATGATTCTTCTTGTGTGTTACAAGTATCGTCAGTATTGGGATGATGTTTATACGTCGTAGTCTTCCCATTGCTACCGTTATCGTTAATGCTATGACTCGTATGTTGATTATTCATCTCCGTATTATCCTTGCGATCGAGAATGACCATACTTATCATGACGTTGATCATGATGAGTATTATCATTCTTTTTATCAATATTAATATTCTTAATGTTGCGATTACTACTAATTTAGGTATCAATATTAACATGGCTATCAATGTAACTCCTCCTCCTCCTCCTCCTCCTCCTCCTCCTTCTCTCTCTTCGTCTTCTTCCTCCGCCTCCTTCTCCCTCCCGCGGGATTCCTTCAGTGCTCTCGCCAGCATCTGATCCTTCGAGTACTGGGAGGGCTCGATGTGCACCTTCCACGTCTTGAGCAGGGGCCCCAGCTCCTCCAGCCGTCTCCTCCTCCTCCTCCTCCCTCTCCTCCTCATCCGCCTCCTCCGCCTCCTCCTCCTCCTCCTCCTCCTCCTCCTCCTCCTCCCACTACTCCTCATCCCTCTTCCAACTTGCTAACTCTTGGCAGCCTCCCTGTGGTCCCTGGGGAGCCGAAGCCAGGCGAGAACGCCTGGCGACAACCATCATGAGGGGCAACGATAGGGGGACTGGAACGGGGGGGGGGGGGACATCGACCTGGAATCGGAGACAAATCGCCGAGAGATGTGCGATAGGCACCCGATGGCGAATCCGCACGTTCCTCGGCGGGGTAGGGCCATGAGACCCCTATCGGCGATCCGTGAGCGATTGGGAGTCCATGGATTCCCCCCCTATGCCTATCCCCCCGATCGTTGCCACTGACCTCCCTCCGTGCCTCGTTCTCCGCCTCCCCCCCCGGGGCTCCGCGACGGTCATCGCCCGCAGCTGCTCCACGGTGGGCGTCCACTGCTTCACCATCTTCTCCATCAGCAGTGCGCTCGCCGCCCGCGCGGCGCTGGCATTGGCGGCAGCCTGGGGGAGGAGAAGGATCAAGGGGCCCAAGCACACACAAATAAATACACACACAAATAAATTGAGTCCCCATATTTGTCCATATTTTCTGGGTGTTTGTCTTCCCGCCCAATTCCCATATTTTCCCATCTTTTCCTGGGAGTCGACGATTAATTGTGTCTGTGTGTTTTTTTACCTCCTGAAAGGAGGCGGAGGATAGAGGCTCCCAGGGAGACACAAATATAAGTAGGCACACGCTCCACGATTCCAGGTACGCTTCTTCAGCATTTTGTGGATGTCCGTTGCCCCCTCCATGTCCAGTATCGTCGTGGAAATCTGCGTTTATTGGTGTCGATGCCTCCGTTGCCCTCCCCAGACGAGGAGGACGATGACCTCAGACCCCCTCGCGTCGGGGAAAAAAACACGACGGGAGGCTTGAGCTGCTGTGGTCGGCCTCTGGGGGCCCTTGCGCCGCCACGGGAGCGTCAAACAGCGACTCGGGATGCAACGCCGGTCCTGGGGAACGTGTCGAAACCTCTGGGGGTCGACCTTCTGCAAAAAACTGACGTCGGGGGTCTGGGACGAGGATGGGGATGGGGATATTGATGAGGATGGGGATGGGGATGGGGATGATGATGATGATGATGCTGATGATGATGATGCTGATGATGATGATGCTGATGCTGATGCTGATGCTGGCGATGATGATGATGATCCTGATGACGATGATGATGATGCTGCTGATGATGATGATGGTGATGAAGTTGATGCTGCTGCTGCTGATGATGATGGTGATAATGCTAATGATGGTGCTGACGCTGATGCTGATGCTGCTGCTGATGATGATGATTGTGGTGGTGGTGGTTGTGATGCTGACAATGATGGTGAGGAAAAGGAGGAGGAGGATGGGAATTGTGGTGACGATGGCGACGGCGATGACGACGACGGCGACGACGGTGATGATGATGCTGATGATGATGATGAGGAGGAGGAGGCTGAGGCTGGGGCTGAGGATGAGTCTGGGGCTGCTGCCGCTCCTGCTGCCGCTAATGTTGATACTGTTTAGGATGTTGCTGCTGCTGCTGCTGATGATGATGATGCTGTTGCTGCTGATGCTGCTGATGATGCTGCTGATGATGGTGATGATGTTCATGTGGCTGCTGTTGCTGCTAATGATGATGCTGGTGGCAGATATGCTGATGATGATGAGAACGATGATGACAATGATGATGGTGATGATGATAATGATGATGCTGATGATGATCATGATGATGATGAGTGTGGTGCTCATGATGATGCTGCTGATGATGATGACAATGATGTTGATGATGCTGATGATGGTGACGAGGAGGAGTATGCTGATGATACTAATGATGCTGAGTATGCCGATGATGAGGATGATGCTGATGACGATGATGATGATGCTGATGATGATGCTGATGATGCTGCTGATGATTAGGATGAGGATGCTGATAGTGGTGATGATGATGTTGCTGCTGATGATTATGATGCTGCTGATGGTGAGGAGAAGGAGGAGGAAGAGGAGGAGGAGAAGGAGGAGGAGGAGGTGGAGGAGGAGGAGGAGAAGGGGGGGGAGGATGGATGGATGGATGGACTCGGCATTGCGCTGTGAGTCTGATGACACTCACCCCCACGAGCTCGCGAAACGAGAGAGCACTCGGGGACACCTCTGAGCTATCGTGCGATCTCCTCGGGCCGAACGAGGTCAGGCGTGTGGGCGCGCCGTGCAGCCGCGATCAACCTTTGATCCGAGCCGAGCAGGACGGGAAACGAAGAAACGCCCGCGGGCGGGGGGTGATACCCCTCTGGCCCCTGGGGGCCGAGCTCGACGGCGCTGCGAGCACCGAGCAGGCTCCCTGGACACCCAGGGCCCCGAGAAGGAAAACAAAAACCAGGCCGAAACAATAAATATCCGACAGCGCGCCCAAGAGACCAGGGGCGGCGTGGGAGGCTAGAGGGGCATGGTGCTACAGCGAAGCTGCTGGAGGAACTCACGTCGTCACGTAGTGCGAGGGGTGCCCCTCTCTTTCAGCAGGATCCGCTGCCGCAGCTGATGAAGACGGGTTTCCCACGTCAGCCCTTGCGGCCGCCCTTGCCCTTCTGGCCGTGGTGGGTCTGTCGGTTCTTGTCGAGCAGCTTCTGGGCCATCGGCCCCCTTATGGCCCTGAGGTGCCGTCCCCATCTTCTGACGTCCGCCCTCCGCCTCGAAGCATTTCACGAGGCCCTGTTCGAGCTCGTGCTTGGATGCCGTAGTCTCCCGAGGGCCGTCTGGGTTGTCGTACTTCAGCGTGATCTGGTCCGCGAACGCGAACTGCACCCTGGTGCATTGGTCGTTGTAGCATTTGCGCAGCCTGAAGTGGCGCACCATCAGGCACAGCTCCGAGCCCGTCACCTTGCAAACGAACTGCTGGTAGACTGTGCACAGGAGCGCGCGCCCCTGCGGGGCCTTCTGCTTCGCCTCCTCGGAGGCCGACAGGCACTTGAACACGGCGTGAGCGATGTACAAATGTGGTGAGTTGAGCAGGGGCTTCGCCTCGGGAATCTGCGCCGCCTCTGAGTACAGCTTGCCCGCCCCCCGAGCTGCGACGATCGAAGAGGCCGTGGACGGGAGCACGATGCTGATCCATTCCGAGGCGGCGAGGCCCCTGAGCTGCTGGGCGTGCTGGCACGCCATATTGAAGAGGATCGTGACCGCCTGCTGCAGGTCGCGCGACTTCAGGGCGCCCTCCACCGCCATCAGGGCATCCTCCGAGGCGTCGGCCATGGAGGCGATCGCGGGCCCGCGCTGGCGCTTGTCCTTGGGCTCGACCTTCTCGGTGGCGGAGCCGTCCGAGGGCTTGTGCCGCTCGAGCAGCGCGGAGAGGTCCATTTCTTGCTGGGCGGGGGGTGCCAACGCCGAGGAAGCCATAGTGTCGCAGGGCGCCCTGTAGACGAACCCGCGGCTCAGGAAGAGAACAGTGGCCGCGAATATGGACCTGAAGAGCAAGAAGGTCTCGGGCATAATGGCTGCATACGGGGCACTGTAAGATGTCGGGCGTCTGGGCTTCATGCGAAAGGAAACTGCTTCGGCCTCGGGTGCAAATATTACGAACGTAGCTGCGCATGACGTGGCGCTGTGCGTTTTCTCTCGCACTGAGGACCTGGAGGCATCTGTAACACTGGTTCGTCACCGTGAGGAGGGAGGCCTCGTTCCGCACCCTGTGGACCCTGTTGGCATGCAGGAGGAGGGCCTCCATGGAGCCGAAGGTGTCCCCGCAGAGGTTCCCGTCGTCGTCCGTCATCTTGCATCTGTAGGGCCGCAGCCTGCCTTCGTCTTCTCCTCGTGAGAGCTCGTCGTCGTTGGGGTCCCTTTGGAGGCCAGGCGGGGCGAACTGGTGGCTGAACGTTTTTGATCTCAAGATGGTGAAGTCAATGTAGGCCCAGTTTTTGTAGTCGGATCAGTAGAATAGCTGTAGTAGGGGGACGTCTTCGGGAACGTGATCCTGGAACTCTTCCGAGTGGCGGTACGCAAACTCGAGGTCCGATAGGACCTGCTTTGCCCATGGATTAGCGTCGGGGCGAAGGGTGTAGTCGGATTTCATGGAGTCCCCGTCCCCGATGCCCCCCAGGATGCACGCTCGAACCTGCCGGTGGTCTGAGGGGTGGCGGCACCAAGACTGATACCATTTTAGTCTGCGAACTCGTAACTCCTCAAGGGTAGGAAGAAGGCGCCAGTGCTGCCAGAGCCGACGGGCAGGCCAGCGATGTAGTTCGCCGTCAGCCTGAGGTTCCAGGCCCCGTCGACCGAGTGCGCGGCGGAGCGCGCGAAGTACTAAAGCGTCCGAAGCGGCG